CACTAAAAAGTCTTGTCGATCTGATAGTATCTTCCCTAATTCATCAACCATTGAAGTAGAATCTTTTTATCAAGAATGTTCAAGTGATGAAAGTGACATCATACCAATCAAGAAGAAAAGACTAAAGTTCCATGAAAAAAATGCCAGTGATTAAACTTATAATATTTTTTTTGAATGATCTTTATTTCCTAATGTAAAAAATTAAATATGCCTTCTATTACCTACATATATTGTTATTTAAGGACGAAGTAAACTTTATTTATTTAAGAGTTTACTTTTGTTTTATATAAATAAATAACTAAAAAAAAAAAAAATCTGAAATGTTTCAGATTTTAAATTACGTCCAAAGGGGCGTTTTTTAACATTTTGTGTGTTACCTTTCTTTATTAAATATCATGTTCCTCGCACTTAAACCATAAGATCCAGTGCTAATTATGTACATTTATTATTTTTTTCGTTTTACATAGAAAAAAAAAAGAAACATGATATTAATGAAACAAGTAAACATGATAAAGACAATGACTCTGATGAAGAGCAATCTGAACTAGTTAAGTACACCACAAGAGACTTCAGCGTTGAACTTGAATTGGGAAGAAAGTACGAAATTACTTTTTACAACATGACATGCAGGGGCATAGCTAGAGTTTCCAGCACCTGGGGATAACTGAAGAATTTGCGCCTCTGTGTGCTAAGAATGGAAAACATTTCATTAAAAAATTTCATAGCATCAATTTGGTACCCCTTGGATGCTGCGCCTTAGATGTCCCCCCTTAGCCCACCCTAGCTACGTCAGTGATAACACAAATGAACAAGCTCTTCGATTCCAACGAGAGCTTAGTAAGTGCTTAAATCAATATGAGGAAGTTTACAAATATTTAGGCGGGGGAACCTAGGCAATCGTTAATTACGAATTTCACTAAAAAGTCTTGTCGATCTGATAGTATCTTCCCTAATTCATCAACCATTGAAGTAGAATCTTTTTATCAAGAATGTTCAAGTGATGAAAGTGACATCATACCAATCAAGAAGAAAAGACTAACAGTTCCATGAAAAAAATGCCAGTGATTAAACTTATAATATTTTTTTTGAATGATCTTATATTTTCCTAATGTAAAAAAATTAAATATGCACTTCTATTACCTACATATATTTGTTATTTTAAGGACGAAGTATAACTTTATTTATTTTAAGATGTCTTACTTTTGTTTTATATAAATAAATAACTAAAAAAAAAAAAAAATCTGAAATGTTTCAGATTTTAAATTATGTCCAAAGGGGCGTTTTTTAACATTTTGTGTGTTACCTTTCTTTATTAAATATCATGTTCCTCGCACTTAAACCATAAGATCCAGTGCAACAGCAAAATCGCAAAAATAGTTTTAAAACGAGCATATCTTTAGAATTTCCGATACAGAGACTCATGCGCTGGAGATAAAAATGTTTTTTCTGCACAACGTTGCCATTGCTCGCTTTGAAATCCTTGAGTTTGTTAATCAAAAATTCGTCAAAGTTTTAAAAAAATAGGAAATCGATCATAAAACAAATTTCAATTTTCAAATTTGGTCTTCCACATGCTCATATTCGTTGGAGGATTACGTTATTCAAAATTCGATGGACTCTATGTACTGTTGTTTTATCACAATACGAGAAATATACATACATTTATGCAGATTTTTCATTATTTAATTTCTTCAAATATAATGCAAGACTCTAACATTTTGTGGCAACAGTTTGAAAAGTGAACCGACATTTATGAGTCCGACGCAAAATGCCAAAACGAAACTAATAGTCCTTCGGGATTCAAATCCCTTTGGACTAATTATGTACATTTATTATTTTTTTCGTTTTACATAGCAAAATCCAAGATTCCAAATTGCACGGTTTTCTGCGGAACCTATCTTCCATGTAAATCGAGGGATAGATGTAATTCATTTTAATTAATCATCAAGATATAATCTGATATGACTTTAAAATAAAAATTTAAAATGATTAAAATATTCTAAAAGGAATTCTCAAGTAAAGAACAGAATAACCATTAGGTAAATCAAAAGTAATGTACTAAATAAAAATTAATTAAATTTTAAACTAAAGAAAAACCAGAATTGCTTAACAAATTTTTAAAAAATCAAAAGCAACTATTGTAAAACAAAAGCAAAGTTTTGAGGAAAAGAATTTATTTAGAAGAAACTAACCAAGTAAGAAGTCAAAATAATAATAAAGGTAGAAAAGTTTACAAATTGAAGAAAAAAAATGAATTAAAATGGAAGGCTTACAGCCTAAAATGTGAAAAGGATAACAATTAATCAATCAATTAAGTTTATCTATTTTTCCTCATTTTTAAGCACACTGGCTTTTTAATTTTGGCCACCAGCAAGTTTAAGCAGTTATTATTTAAAATATAAATTAACGATCTTGTGTTGCATCAAATAGTAATACTCTGAAAACTGGCATGGTGCTTAAAAGATTAATAAAAGAACATTTGTTTCCCACAGTGGCAATACTTGCTAAACTGTGGGGAAAGATGAATGGAATTCCTAGTGTCAAAATGTGAAACTGCCTTGCCAAAAGGTATGAAAACTACCTATGACTGAAGGTATGAAAACTACCTATGAACGACCTATACTGCGATATGAAAAAAAGCAACATTTATCTAAAAAATTTACAAATCATAAATAGATTAATTGAAATAACTAAGCATAGATCTGAAGTTAAGTTTAAAATAATTAAAATACAACAGAACTATTTTTCCTGAGAGGAGATGAAACATTTGACAAAAATTTCAGAATATCCAACACAGCTGCTTTTACAGAAGAGAGTTCTGACTCAGATTCTTTCAAAATGGAAATCTAATTAAGTTATAGTTAATTTTTGTCTAGTAAAAATGAAATTTTACACTTCTTCTGCAATGCAATTTGATTTAAACCCACATGTAGTATGTACACATACATGTTACAAACTTTACTATAAATGCTGGTGCTTATTTCAAAGCATGTAAAAAATGCAATCCTATCAATAGTTTCAATCAATCCCTCCACCCTCAATTACTATGCCTTACAAAAAATGAACTATAAAATAAAACCTAAAGTAACAACAAGCACAGGTATAAGGAAAAGCATAGATAATATAATCTCTGTACTAGCAATAATCAGGAATTGCTCTCACCTACCAACTCTTAAAAGGAAAAGAACTTACAGAAACTGGTGAAGGACATCATCAGGAATCAAATGTAATATATCAAGATGCACTTCACCTTAAAACACAGAGATGATAATTGCCCTCAAATAGACCTCTGATCTTCAGTGTCATCATAAAGATTCTTTTCAAAGAACACTTTGTTTAAAATCTTCCTAATTGTGATAGTGAAGAAGTTAACCCAGCTCAGCTAGTCAGAATTTTGTAGACTAGTCCATCTTGTCTGAGAGGCATAAATTGTGCTGGTTGAGATTTTATAAACTGTGACGTAGGTACCTGTGTTTCCAGTATAAAAGGCTCAACAGTTTTTAATCTTTTGTAATTTTTTCTTTGTTTGTTACAGGAAATTGAAACTTTCTTCCCTTGATTATCTTCTTCAAGTTTAGTTTTCTCTTCATGGTTTTTTATTTATTAACTTCTGACAGATTTCCTGTACTGAAATCAATTTTGTCTATAATTTGTGCATTTCTTTTCTTAAAAAATATCACTGCCTATTTGGGCAGATTAGGTTTTGGGGGGAATTGTTAAGATATTCTGCATTATGTTTGTTATTTCTCTTTTGTGGGACAGAATTTGAGAAAGCATAAAATTTACACATAATTTTTTTGCTGTTGTTACTCAGTATTTTGACTCAACATTACTGTTGAGTTCTTACTCTGTTCACAGGAAATATATCTATAGCTGGAGAGTAATTCATCATCAAGAATTTTTTTCTTAGAGATGCTGGGTCTGTTATGGATTTGTATGGTTAAATATGGCAAACATTTGCTATTTATAGTACTGAAAGGAAGTAAAACACTCAGGCTATAACTGAATGTACTTCTTTCAAAAATTACCAACTACAGTTTCAAAATTTCATTAATATAACATGATAAACTCTGATTTCTGAAATTTAATTATATTGATAGGTCTTTTGATACGATTATATCATAACTAAGTATTTTAAATTCTAAAACTGCAATATTTTCCAAACTTTTCTAACAGCCTCCAAAGAACAGAAATAGAGGAGAGAACACTAAAGATGAAGCTTGAGGGATTGGGGAAAAGAAACTTAAGTACAAAATTTCATTGTACATCATCAAAAATCTCAATCATTAAAATCACTCATATTCCTAAATACTGTGTTGCAAAAAGAGATAATAAAATTTCCAATGTTATTAACTCCCTGTTATTTTTTTCCAGTGAAGTAATAGGTAGAAATAAAAGTGGTTACATTTTTATGTTTTGGCATCTTTTTAGCATCTTTCTAAAATAATTTTTTTAAAAAAAAGGAGGTTTGTTTTCATTTTGTACCATCTACTTCGACAAACTTGTCCAAAAAATCATTTTAACATAACTGTACAGAAATATGGAATAAACGGCATCAGTTCAGAATTCATATTTTATCAATGAAAGGTACAGTATTAAAATTAAAGTTCAAATTAACTGCAGTAATGGGGGAGGGGATCCTAATGGGAGATGGGATCTTGTGTATTAAATGAAACAGCAGATATAAATGTATTTTTTTTAATTAATACTTCTGATCCTCTAAAATGATATTCATTGTAAAAACAAGATTGTACTTGAAGTTCATGCATACTCAAAATAAAAATCTTAACTTTACAAATATGTAGCATACAAGATAAATTAAGTAAGATACAACAAATATGAAAAATGATGCTAAATATAATTTTCTGAATTATATTTTTAAAATCTTCAAAAAATTGTTAGCATAAAATGTGCATATTTAACTTTAGTACTAATCAATATCAGACATTTAACAGATTTATCAAAAAAGTACAACTAAAAAATTCTTTAATATGACATACTTGGAAGCGGTCTGTGAAAGTGGTCAAAAATCAACAGTAGATCCATAAAAAGATTATGACCAACAATAGGCTAAACAAAATAAATTGAAAATTGCATAGTCAAAAACTTTTACTTGAAAAGACTTTAATAATAATCCAGAAATAAAAATGCATTTATAAACATCAAAGTTTCAAATTAAATGCAGTTAAACTATGTAACACAAAAAGTACTGTTTGGGCTTTTTTATAAGTAATCCTGCTGACATCATCTACTGAAATTTCACTCCAGCTGACAAAATTCAGCTGCTCATAAAAGTTTAAAGGAAAATTTTCATATTATGTATTAGTTTAAAAGTTATCTAATTGGTACTTTGGTGTTTACAATTTAATAATACACATGATAATCAATTTAACATAAAAATTAATTTAGTTCTCCTTACAGATCATAAAAAAACTCTTCTGAAAATAATTTAATATTCAATATAAAAGCTGCAGAAATGTTAGCCAAAGCAACAAATTAATGTAAATATTTCAAAAATTTTCACAACCTGTAATTATTTAAGAAAGGCATAGGTAAATTTTTATAATAATGTATTACAGACAACTCTATCGAGGCTAATTTTTAAATTTGCTTTTTTACACTCTCATCATTTTATTGGGCTGTTCGTCGACTAATGGCAGAAATGCCAAAGAGGGGTGTAGGATTAAAAAAAAAGTTATAATAATACAATGTATATAATAATATATATATAATACAATGTATATATGTTTATTACAAAACTGATAAAAAATGCTGTTCAGCAAAATCTACAGATTGCTTATAAAATACAATATTCTGAAGAATTCAACAAACCCTCCTTTAACAAATTAATGCACATTATGCATATAAAATAAAACCTTTGAATTTTTATATATCTTTATATCCCTAAAACAGGTTTTCATAAAAATAGTATGAAAATGAAACTATTAATTGAGTCCTTTATATTTAAAGAAATCGATTTTCATCTAATTCACAAAAATCATAATCCATACTTTAAAACGTTTTAATTTAGCTAAATCTTTCAATAACTAATTTTTGAATGCAAAATATATAAAATATACATATATGTATACAAAGATTAAAATATAGTATATAAATAAAATGTAATTCCCTCTCCAACTATGCTTTCAATAACAAGAGAAATAAAAACAGGATATAAAATCTACCTTTTTAGACTCTTTCATTAACCTAAAAATTCTTGTGAAGCCAAGGAAATATTCTAAAAGTCTAAAAACAATAAGAAAAAATGCACACAGTATTAGGAAGAAATTTTTTCAATATTATTTAAGACTTTCAGTCTAAAATTTTTGCCAATTAATTAAAACATACTTAATCTTTTCTTTAACAACAGTTTGTTCTAATTTTTTCTTTTCTTCTAGGCCAACTTTTTCAACAATAACCTACAACATTGAAAGTTTATAAATAATATAAATTGTGACCTGTCAAAATAGCCCACAGCTAAACAGGCCCAATAAAATAGCCCAAGACTATATAGCTCTGGCAAGATAACCTTGACAAAATAGCCTTGAAGTAATAACTAAGCCTAGTTACATATAATTAATATAAATATTAAAATTATATAAAATATATTAGTAAATATTAGTAAAAATGAATTTTGACAGTTGAAAATATTTATTAAAAAATACATTTTAAAAATTGTATATGGACATATTAATAGAAATTCTAAATTCAGTTTGGCAATTCTCTACAAGCCTTTAAGATTTCTGTTCCTTACCCATTCTTTACAAAATTACATTCCACATGTTTGTTTCATCTGGGACAGTGCTTATGGCAAAAAATGCAAGAACTGTATTTGGTGGAAGCTTATGTAAAAATGTTGTTAGTGTTCAGTTTTGTACCAGTGTATGTTATTAGAATATTTGAAGAATTAATTGAAAATTTCCCAAACGAACTAGACCCCATTATCGATTACTAGGAAGATACGTATATGGGGAAAATAAAATGTAACCGCCGAACACGACAATGATTTGCAATACATGTGTGGAATGTTCATGAGTGTGTCGTCAATGGTCTTCAGAAGACAAATAATTCAGCAGAAGGGTGGCATAGGGCATTCCAGCAAACTGTAGATTGCCATCATCCATCTCTCTACAAACTTATTGATCATTTCAGAAAAAAGCAAGATATGATGGAAATTCGCTTAACATGCCTTGCTGCAAGTATTCGCGATGCAGGCACTAGCAAAACTAAGTATGCTCAACTGAATTGATGCCTAGAAGCATTAGTGGAAAATTATGCAAATATGGAACATATGGATTTTTTTTGTAGTGTTTCACTTAACTTTGAAATGTAATTTTTGTAAAGAATGTAGAAAGCAATAAAACTTTAATGGCTTGTAGAGAATTACCAAACCAGATTTATATGTCCATACAAAATTTTTAAAATGTCATTTTTAATAAATATTTTCAACTCTCAAAATTCTTTTTTACTAATACATTTTAATATAATTAATTTTATATGATTATATAACTAGATGTAGCTATTACTTTGGGGCTATTTTGTTGAGGTTATCTTGTTAGGGACATTTAGTTTGGGGCTTATTTAGTCTTGGGCAATTTTCTCAAAGCTGTTTAGTCGTGGGCTATTTTGGCGGGGTATCAATATAATACAGAGTCCAGATTAATAAATATGGTTTAAAAATAAAAATGATTATCAAAACAATGAAAAGGAAGCTGAATAATTGCAATATTTTTCAAGTTAAGATGATAAAAGCTATTATAACAATATCAATGAATTAACATTCCTATTGAACTTATGCAAAAATAACAGTTTATTCATTAAACAGAACATGAAGATAACCAAATTTCAAAACTTAAACAGATAAACACACTCCAAAATATATTAAAGTGTACTTACAGAATCATTCTCACAATAAGCCCATAATGATGGATATTTGCATCTCAGTTCATTGACTTGAAAATATTCATGGGAAACTACAAAGAGGGGAGAGGAAAGAAATGCTATGGTAACTAAAAGATAAAAACACAAGAGCAGAATACATTTCCATAATAAAGATTAAGTTGATATAAATATATTATGTGTATCTTTAACTTTGTTAGAAGAAATAGAAAAGCATAAAGTGATCATTTGCATAACAGTAAATCATGGAAAAAAGTACACTGTATTTTCATATAATATAGCTGATTCAAAATTTAAAGATAAAATAAATGTATTTATAAAATGTGTAAAAGCACAGAACAAAGTATGCAATCCAGATGTCTAATGTCTAGAATGATCTAACATACAGACCTTGGGAATACCAACCAAAAAATATAAAAAATAAAAAAATAAACTTACTTTAGAAAATTTTGGAATGGAGAATGTTATAACAAAAAGAGGCAGGTGTGCTGAGAATGATTTTTCTTCAGATAAATTGAGATTCCTGCATGTCACTTTCAAACACCTACTGGCTAGGAAGTTGCACTGTGGCCAGTAACCATGCAATGATAATGTTGTATTGATATTGACCAAGATCATACATCTCAGCCACTGAGTGGTAGGGGGGAGAGTGAGATAGAGCTGCTGCCAGCTGCAATCTCTGCTGGTTCTAAATTCTGCTACCTGGCACTTCTCTAAATTCTAATTATTTTACCCTAGATTCTACTGCTCAGTGCCTCTTCTAAATCCTAAAAATTCCAAACCAATTTTGGCTACTTGATGATCCTCTAAATCCCAAAATTTTTGCCACCACTAAATTCTGACACTCCATGCATCTGCACCAGTTGTACTTGCTCTGATGACGCTTATGTGAGTGGGGGTTTAGCATTTTCCTACCTGTATTAATCAATAAGTGAAACCCCTAAGTCATCGTGTCTGCATGTTATCTTATTAAACTGATGATCTAAAATTCGGAAATCCATGGACTTTGTACTGTACAATGAAATAAATATTAATTTTCATATATCTGAAACAATAATGTAATCTGTCCACTTGAATATGTTATTAAATTTATTGCTATGGCATAAAAACCCTTAAAAATCTTAAGCTATTTCATGGAAAAACAGAAAAGTTGTTTTAAAAACTGCACATATGGTCAAAATGATTGCTGAGTCAATTATCCAAAGTGGTGACATTGGCTTCCAACAGATGGTATTAAGACGGTATGTAAAAAAACATGAAAAACAATTTAATAATAATACAGTGGTGTCTTTGCAGCAAAGCATTAAAAATCATAAAAAACACTGCAGTCATCAAAAATGTGATAAGAGAAGATCATATTCGAAATATAAGTATCATATTCATATAAGTATCATATTCGAAAGGCAGCATTAGTATTGGAAATAAATGCTGGATCATCATCAATCATGATGAAATAAAATTCCAAAATAAGTGTTTTAAGACAGATACACAAACACTGAACAATGAGAAATGAGAGACATGCTGATGCTTCCTAAGAATTTCTGCATCACTAAACTGATATACCTAATAATGCTTGATAAAACAGTTTTGCAGCATATCATCACTAGAAATGAAAGCTGAGTACATTAGTGAGCAGGAGAGTGTTCTGGGATGATAACAAGGTTGAATAATAAGCTGCTTACTTGTTCAAAAGATTTTTTTTTTTTAACTGTGATATCCACACATTTGTCAAGAGCTGATATAACTGTATTCAGCTAGACTGGAATTGTGTCAAACATTAGTAATGCAATTATTACAGTGTTTGTAATAAATACTGTATAATTTTGTACTTTTTTTTTTATGAAGAGCAACCTGATTCTGATTGTTCTTGAAATCAATAATTTTATATCCTTGAAATCAATTATTTAATCTATGAAAAACTAAGGTTGCCTTATTGCCTGATTTTAAATGGCATTATCAATTCGTCTTCTTCAGTTGCATTACAGCCTATCACAGGCCAAAAGATGTCTCAACAAGCTTCCTCCAATTCATCTGATTAGTCACTACAGTCTGCCAATGATTGATTTTTAGAGTTCTAAGATCTACCTCAACACAGTCTATTCATCATGAGCGAGGTTTTCCTCTTTTCCTGCTACTCTCGACACTTGCAAAGGTCCCCTTTTTAACAGGGTTCAAGCTGTTACATCTAAAAATATGTCTAAGCCACCTAATGGAATTATCAATTAGCAAATCTTTTTTTTTTCTTGCATAGTATTTAATACCTTGGTTTTTATCTTTTAATAATTTATAAACTGTAAGAGTTATTTTAAAATCATTAAAGAAAATGAAAAAAAAAACTTTCAGAACAACTTAATAAATAAAAAAGTGGAGACTGAACCTATGAACATAAAAGTAATAATTCCACATCCATGTTTCATTTAGGTGACATATTTCTAGCTTAGAAAACATATCAGGTATAATCTAAAACTAATTAATAAATTACAAGACTGTGAAAATTAAATGTACTTAAGTGCTTGAAAATGCTCAAAATTATTTATATATATACATCATAAAACATTATAGTCAAAGATGTTAAGGAAGAAAAATTTTAAATAGAACCAGAAATATAAACACTCCTACAAAGATACCTTTAGATAAAATATGTTAAATAAAACTGATGTACTTTATTAAATTAAACTATAACTACAACCAAATCTGAAACTTATCAACTTTGAAGAATTTTTATAGGTTTGGTTTGGTTTGGTTTATTAGATTACGGCAAAGCACTCGAGGGCTATCTGCCTTAAAGGAGGGATGCCTTCGTGGAGGACTTTTTAAGGGAAACTAGCTCGTATACACGTTACACATGGGGAAAACCACGAAAACACCCATGCAGCCAGCCCGTTCGCGAGATTCGAACCTCGGACCGAACTACCAGTGTTCAGCGACGTTACCGCTCGGCCGCTGGTGGGCCCGAATTTTTATAGGAGGAAGATGTAAATGAACTTTGCCAAAAGAAAATTTCAAAAAAATCATTCAGACCTGAACAATAATTTCTTAGGAAAATATGTTAATTTATCCTTTTTTTGACAAATCTGCTACTTAGTTTGTTCACAGTCTACCTTGTCTATAAAATCCTGACAATTGGCACCATATATTAGATGTGAAGTTTTTGAACAATTTTGACCAAAGAAAAATTGAAAGAAGAATTGTGAGACAAACTTCTCTTGCAAATTTGATCCATGAAGGCATTACTTTGTTTAGGCAGATAGCTCATGTGTCCTTTGACATACTTAAATAACAAAAGTGCTATTGCAAATCACTGATCTCATGACTATACTGTATACAAGAAATGTCTATGGAAAAAACTGATTGCCTTATGGCTAATTCCCTCTTCTGCTAAAATTAACCATAAATGATCTTCAGCTGGTAAATTAGAAAAACTCAAAACTTCTCCCATTCAGAGAAAGTGTGTCTATTTTAGTTTAAGCTTTATAATTCTAAATTTTATTATCCAACAATGTTTACAAATTCCAGATCATGAATTTATTAATATGTGGTTTCCCCCTTCTTCTTATTTTCCATTAATAGATTGTGAGTGTCCATTAATTTAAACAAGCAAGGTATACTATTAATTCCTCAGGAATTTAGATTTAGGACAGGGAACTTAAATTCAACACATTTTTTTTAAATTAATAGACAGAAAAATAACCAAAAAGTTGAAGTTATACAGAATTTCTTCAATATTTTTAAATTCTAAACAAGAAGGATGAGTGTTAAAATAATTCTGATAGCTTTTATTGAAATAATAGTAAAAATATTTTCCAATGCAATGTTTACAAATAATGAAAGTTCAAGTTAGCACACATCTATAATATTTGCTAATATTTCATAGGATTAACTAAGATAGCCCTTATACACTTTGCCTTGATTAAAAAATACAGTCAAGTTTTACCAAGCTCTAGGGTTTTTGGTGAATAAGTTAAAATGATGAACACTGGTAATTAACACAGATTTGGATTTCAGTGTACAAATCTGGAATTCAAACCAAGCCAATTAGTTACATAGCTGTCTTCATGATGTTCCCTACCCCCATTATAAATAACGAACCAATTTCAGGAAGTCTTAAAAAAAACATACTTTTCAAAAGGCAAATAGCCTTTCTGAGCTTTAGTGTATTCATGTAAATAAATCTATCAAGTTTTAGAACATTTTTCATTAAATTTTCTCTTTCTTATTTAATTAAAAAATTTATGCTTAGTTTATAAATATCAGTTGAAAAGCAATCAAACAATGCACAGACATACCTTAATTTCTCCTTAATACACCTCATCCATACCTTACTTTTTAAATTAATCAAATTCAAAATATAGTAGATGATAAAGGTTTAATAAAAAACTAAGTTTTGCAGATAAAATTAAAAATATATATTATTTCTTTGATAAATTACCAAATGACTCATTAATCTTAATTCAAACAATAAAAGCATCCTCCCAGAAAAAAGAATTGAAACACACTATTAAAAAATTAATTAATGTGTTTGATCTCAAAAACAACACCAAAAAGACAAATAATTCTATATTTCATTTCGGCAATTATGAATTTTTTTTAAAAAAAATCTAAAACTTCAGTGCAAATGCAAATATGGATTTAAGATATCCCTATGAGAATTACGACAAAATGTATATAATTACATAACTATCACATCTTACTTTTGTCTTTTGGCAAAATTAATTTCCTTTTGTTTTTCTGATATTCACAGTTTTCAGTTGAATGCCTTGATTCAGAATTTAGCAGCTCATTGATCAACATATCTTGCTTTCTTTTCTGCCTGATATCCATCGCTCTATAATATCATAACACAAGAATAAAACTATTAAAATAAAATTTTCTAATAAATACCAATAATCATAATTATAGAGAAATGCATACAAAACTATTAGTCATACAGCAGATTTAGTATTCAAGAACCATTATGCATAGAACATTATTCAACATTATATGAAAGAAACTGACTTGCATATCAGAGAGCTCACATTAAGGACTTTCCTGCTCAAGACTTTTATATAAGAAATACACACTATTGCACATTTTTAAAAAATATTTAAAACTAATGATTTCACTAATGTAAGAATTTCCAACCACAATTTTGTACTTTATACAAAACATGCGATCTAGTTCATTTATTCCTTTAATGCCTTACTAAAGCAATCTGTCCTTCTAGTCCCTGCAGCCTAATGCCCTTTTCTAGGTTATCTCCAGCCATGCCATCCAACTTTGTCTTTCTCCTCTTCCAACAATCTTTACCCATCACTGACCAAATGGTTACAGTTACAAAGTACTATTAGTTCCAAATAAGTCATTTTCAAGAAACTGAATGGGTCTGCTGCATTTTCTTCATATGTAAGCAGACTGGATTATCCTCAAAAGCATCTTTCTCATTAGGCAGATAATCTCAGTATGTTTTGCCTTATTTGATAGGTTTTTTCGGCTAATTTCTAATAAAACTAAAACATTTAAATATTTTTTAATGTAGTTCTTCAAAATATCTACAAAAATCTACAATCTAAAGCAAGAAAATGGGAAAATAACTAATTCATAAAATACTGCTTAATTCTATTTCTCACTTTTCATGAGGACGTGTAGCACTGCCATCTTCAAGCTCTTTGCAAAATTCCTGTTCTTCAGCTTCATTAATATACGGAATGCCATCTTTAAAAAACTAAAAATTAAATAAAACACTTGTTTTCATCTAATACAAAATACTATAGATAATAATTTATTTAGTACTTTCTTATTATTCGCATACCCAATGAAAAATCGCGAACTCGTTGGCGAATTTGGAGAGCATTCAAGAACTCGTTTGTGATTAATTTCTCAGCTAGCTAATAATTTTAAAATTTATAAACTGCTACTTTAAAATGCAAGAAATATCGATAATAAAATATATTTTTGGAGAAATCCTTCTCTTTCTGTACTTTGTTCTACCCATGTACACAGCGATTTGGCTTCGCTTAAAAAACATCAGAGAATTACACAAATTTGGCATCCACAGAACTTTGTCATTATGCACTGGCTATAACAGAACACATGTTACATGCATATCTGGGTCTCCACAGAAAAAAGGGGGACACCGTAGATTGCCACATAACTATTTTGCTACAGCTTCGTCTCATGAATATACAGCTCAGTCTCATGAATACCTTTTTCACAACTTCTTGGCATTTGGGGAAAATCAGAAAGTACTCTTACCTTTGCAATTGCTTTAATGCTTTATAATGACTGAGATTGAAAAGTATTTATACGTCTTTCAAGAGATCATTCACAAATGATGTATAAATAAGAAATATAACCGAAATTTCAATTCATGATGTGACACATATATATTAGCTGCACAATTTTAATACAGTTACATGCATATGGATTCCTAATACTATACTGAATGCACACAGAACTGATGGTAGCTTGATAAAATTTATTTTGCCAAAAGAAAAACACTCTGCAGTTCTGGAACTTCCCACAAATATATTCGTACAGCTCTTCTCAGGATCACAAAGCACATTACGTAGTTACACCTTTAATTATTAAGAACATTAAACATAATGCAATTCAAAGCTCTTATGGATATCTCGGTACCCCAAAATTAGCTCTAAACAAACAACTGATGCTCTCTCTGGCCTTACATAGTTTTCTTCCGGCCACCTAGAAATCTCTAGTACCTTTCACTTCTCGAAATTACTGGAAGGCATATGAGGGCTGAATACAGTTACAGTACATATAGACATTAATTACATTTTTTCAGTCACAATACCAATTACAATTATACAGGGACCGGAACAAACTGGTCGCCATGTTTGGCAACTTTTGGCGATAAAAATTAACCATTAGAACCATCACCACTTTGGCGATATCTCACCAATTATGTGTGAGATAGCCATTTATTTAACATTAAATAGACTTGCGCCTTGTACTCTTATTTTTCCAGCAGACTTTCATCTCTTCCAAGCATTTTATGTTACATTATACAAAAAATACTGCAATTATGCTAAAATAATTTACACATGTACAAAATTCGTAACAATACAACTACCTACCACTGATATTACACAATTTATCCTAATTTCAATTTGCTTAAAATACTAAATATGTTCAAAGTTAAAATCAATACTTGAAATAAATATTTAATAAATACTAATATTTCAAGACAATTTTACAGTTGATACCATTTTCTATAATTAATATTTTAAAATAATACTAATGCGAATTTAATATTTTTAATATCATAAGAAAGCAAATTTCTTTCTACACTAATGCAATTTGCTGGGAAGAAAACAACTTTCACATTTTGCGAGAAATCTGTCATTTGCTGATAGGCAGTTAAAAAAAAATCCATAAAAAGTAAAATTTTGCATCTCTTTATAGTTTCATCTAATTTCTTGAGCAGTTCTGTAAAAATGTTCATAGTTAGCCACGCTTTTTTATTTGCTTTACATTCTTATAGCAGAGGTTTAGCATGTTTCAAGCACCTTGGTTTTTGTGACTATAACTAAAGAAGTCACTTTTACATACCATGAACATTTGCTCAGTCAGATGTTCTTTACAACACAAGTCACCTCTTTGAAATCTACAGTTCTTGCAAGCATAAGTTAAAAGAAAAGAGTAGTTTCATCAACATTAAAAATGTCTTTCAATTCATATCAATTTACAACAGTTTACAAAAAGTAAGGAAAAAAAAATCAAAAAAATATCAATAACTCCTCCAAAAATAAGCCAATCTGTATAAATTTGAATAGGCTGTCAAATAAGAGTTGTTGAGTAAAACTGCGATATGCAAATTAATTGCGCTGCAATCAGAATGTGTCATCTGCGAGGAGCAAAAAATTTCATGTTTGAAAAAAAAAGCCTGTAAATTTTGCTGCGATACTGAGATAAGAAGTCTGGGATAGCCAGTTCATAACAATGACCTCCAGGCATCATTAGCCTGAAGAACTGTGATAGAGAGGTATTAGGAGACTAGTTAATGGAAAGATAAAGTCAGATAGATAAATGCAAGTCCTTTTGTGGTTCACAAGCTTTAGCAATGAATTCTGACCACAGATTCGGCACAAAGAGGCTCAGTCAAGGACGGCCAACCACTACGACCAGTATCAATAACCAATATTTGTTGCTAAGTTGCATCCACATAACTATGCCAGCAATGTAAATCACAGAATGAAATGCACATCGACGGCTAAAGGTTGTCCAAATGGAGATGCAAGCGAAGTCTGAGCTTAGCCAACAGAATTAATGAAGAGAACAAAATGTAATACTCATAAAAGGATGCAAGCTCACAGTGTTTCATCTGCTGTTCTGTAGTCTGGTCAGAAGAATATCACACTCGGTTCATTTTGTTATTAAATCTTGTTTATTAAACAATTTAACAACACATAGTAAGATTAAGCACATTAAGCAGGATAGTAAGATTAAGCAGTTATTATATGCATAAATCAGTTTTTATGCAAATAAAGTTTGTAAAATTGTTTTGACATTTAGTATATAAAGAGAAATAAATGAATTGAAACACCATATCCTCAATATAATAAAATCAACTTGATATTTTAATAGTTCTATCCCTCCCTTCCTTGCTTGCTTTTTCATGTATGGTATAGGAGTAGGTAAAGGAATCTATGCAATAAGAAAAGCATTTTATAATTTGATTGCTCTCTACATATTTATTACACATACAAACTAGAAGAAAAACATTCATCCAATAAAATTTGTTTCAAATTAAAATTTAATGAATTATAGTGAAAATTACATTCACAATAAAAGATTAAAACAGAGTATTTTTCTGTAAATAAATGTAAATATCCACTTTTAAGCAAAAAAAAAAAAATTTTAAAGTATTACACTTTAATTTTTAGTGCTTCTAAATGACTGCTCATTTCTATAAATTGAAAGACTATCAATGTCTGCATATTTTTTAATAACATTTCTGAATTAATATGCTTGTAATTAAAAAAAGCACAACTCCACTAAAATTTTTATGCTCTATGAATATCAGATGTGAATAACAGCTTTCACTTGCATTTATTCCATTAAAAGTTTTCTTAAGCAAGGTGCCTTTAATTCTTCAGATATTTTTCTTTTGATTAAATATACAAGAAATTCAGGGGATGATTAAAAAATTTAAGTTATATTAAAATTTTCTTGTTATTCTAGTAATAATATTCTTTATTCCAATAATTCAGTGATTAAATTCATTACTTATCAAACTGTGTTTTTAGTGTTTCTTATTGACACTAAATGTCTTTGCAGGCTTAAAACAGAATATTTATGATCAGTTAGAAGTTGATTGGTGACTCCGTTGCCACCAAATGAATATGTAAGTTATTTTATTATTAGCACATTTTTTTCATTTTTGAATTTAGAATGAGGATAAAATTTTGGACAGTTTATGTAAAATTATGTACAGAATAAAATATGCAAAGAGGTAAAAATAAAGAGGTAATTTATATATGAGATGCAGATATATTATTACATAATGAGTTACATAATGAGGTTTTTATGTATAGTGCACATTTTTTAACTGAATTGAAAACAATAATAATAATATATAAAATAAGAATTGAGAACAATAATAATAGATAAATAAGAATAAAATGATTCATGATTAAACTAAAGGAAGTTTAAAAATGAGAACTAGTGATAAACCAAAATTTGCTGAAGCGGAAAAAAGCTTTGTTACAGTGGTTACTAATAAGATTCAAACTCATGACCTTTCCCTTTTCGATTTAGCATGCTCATTCTCAGGAAACTGTGACTCATTCTCAAGAAAAATAACAGAACAAGCAGAAGTTACTGCAAAGGTAATTTAAGTAATATTCAATAAATGAATGCCATATGATTCAGGTTATAACTGCCCTCGAAAAGTTCATAGCTGTAATACTCTTTTACAGTCAACTGTTTTATTTTAGGTGTTATTTTGTTGAAGTTAGTTTTTGATGCATTTGATATTGAGATACTTACAGAGCTTTTGTTACACATGAAATAGCTAGCATATTAAGAAGAATTTTGCACAGCACAGAAGTTGATTTCACAGAAGTTGTAATTTATTTCAGTTCATATTGCTTATGGTATTATATATAGGTGAAGCATATGGATATACTAGTTCGATTATTGCTTTATAAATATACAGTTCTTTATTCCTTTAATGATAATTTGAAATATCTACAAATATACAGTACAAAATCCATAATCTGGACGTCCATTATCCGGAATGATCTATAATCCGGACTTCAAAGCCACAAACTTACGCATGTGCATAATGCGTTTATGCATGCGCCTTTGATGCGTGCATGCGTGTAAAACCAGTAAAGTGTTTACCCATGCGCACTTCCAATAGTGAAGAAAGTAACAGAGAACGTTATTGAAAACGAAAAAATTTCGATTGACAAGTTAGTCGGTATTCTCGACACAGCAATTACAGGACTTGAACAGTGGAACTTTGTAACTGAACAAGAAATTATGTCTGTTTATAGAATTAAGGAGAAAGTATTAGCACAAAAAACAAAGCAACTTAAACAACTTAAATTGATAGAAATGTTTACTAAAGTAAACAAATAAATATTAAGCTTTTTTTTTTTTTTTTTTTTTTTTTTTTTTTTTTTTTTTGTAAATTTTGATACCCTTTAGATCATAATTGCTCTTTATTTCATAAATTACGGTTTCATATTTTTAATT